ACCCAACTCCATTTGGTTGGCATTGTTGTAAATAAGATGAAATTGAATGACAAACTTTTGTTAGCTACAATCAAATAATTCCTCAATTTTAGAATAGATAATGTAATTCGATTTTTCTATCATCAATATCACGATGAAGGTTGATATGAAATGATGTCAAATCAAAAGTGATTAGTAACGCTATTTTTTCTATCCAAAATTTTGTCACAAGCAAATATTTTTTTTAATAAACGATATTCTCTATGCTAAGAGGTGGGGGAGTGGGCTAAGACTCACAATGAGCTAACAATAATATGATTCAAATCCACCTTTGACGAAAATCAAATCTAAAGTCGTGTTTGTCACACACAATTTTCTTTAAGAAATATTTATCGAGGCCAACTAAATTAGCGTACTACCACTAACTTGATGTTTTCACAACTAAAGAAAAGGCTTTATGTCTTGACGGATAAGATTGAAGAGGCGAGACATGCTCTTTTCTTTTGTTTCTTTTTCTGTTTGTCCTATTATCTTGTTTAGGCAACGCTTTTATTCGAACTATAAAGATGACGCTTTTGTTTCTTTTTAACTGTAAACAGAAGCACTCCACTTTATATGCAAATAACAACAAACAAACAAAGCACTCGGATTCAGACAGAGTCAGCCCACAAAGTATATTCTCTCTCTCTCTCTCTCTCTCTCTCTCAACCCGCTCACCACAAACCGATGTACCGCTAAACATTCTCTCTCTCTCTCTCTCCCTCTCTTCTCCCAAGCAAAACGCATCACCAACCCCACTTTGTATATGCTTTGATTTGTAAGGTTCTTGTCTTCAAACTCTCTCACATCTTCCTTCTGGACCACTCCGTATGTTGTTCTCATCACCTAATCAAAACTCTCTGCTTTATTTACTTCCTCCCCAGAATTTTCCGGGCAAGTTTATAACTTTTGGATGATATCTTCATCATCCATCATTCATCGATTGAGTTAGAGGTACCCAAATGACTGTGATTTATGTTAAATTCATTTGAGTTTCTAATTATGATTTGAGGCAATATTTGTTCACAGTTTGAGTAATTATGATGCGAGTATTTGTTAGAATTAAGTAATTAATCAGTGCTGATTCTCCAGAACTGAAGTGTTTGTGTGTTCATATATAAATGGTAGTGTGAATTTAGACTTGGAATTTGGATTTGAATTTCTGGAATCTGGAAAGCCATGGCAAGAGGCAGAGAAGACTATGAGAAGCACCCGGGTTTGCTCAAACTCTTGCAGATTCTCTCGTTCTTGGTAGTTTTTGTTGTGGGGATTGTTATAGGATTAGCAACGAGCGCCCATATTAACCGGCATTTTGGTTCACAAACTGAGATTTATTCGTTTATCAATCACTTCTCCGCCAATAAGCCGCACAAGGAGAAGAATTGTACTACTGTGCAAGTTAGTGACAAGGTTGATTGTATAAGCATGGAGACGTTTCTTCAGCCGAAGAATTTGACGCACGGTCTGTCTGATGATGAGCTCTTTTGGAGAGCTTCAATGGTGCCGCAGAAGCCAGAGTTTCCATTCGAGAGAGGGCCTAAAGTGGCTTTCATGTTTTTGACTAGAGGACCTTTGCCCTTGTTGCCATTGTGGGAGAGGTTCTTCCATGGCCATGACAAGTATTTCTCAATTTATGTCCATGTAATTCCGGGTTATGAGCTCAATGTATCTACCACCTCTCCTTTTTATCAACGCCAAATCCCCAGTCAGGTACAAGGCATGTTTTATGACATACTAATCTTTTTTCTTGTCACTGATGCTCTACTGCTTCAATATTTCTCATTGTTTCTCTTTTGGTTTGTACGATTATGTTATTGCGTACTTGTAGCTTCGTATCAATGTTGTGAGGGAGATTGGCATGAAAAAGAAAGATTATCTAAGTTTGTGGGGGAGGGAAGTGAACTGAATTTCGTGGCTATGATAATTTTATTTGGCGTGTAATCGTTTATTAGTTTTTCTTTACTTAAGAGATCAGAAACTTGTATCAAGGGAAGTAGGGTAATTATCATGGACTCTTTGGCTTGGTGTCCTGCAAGATTAATGTTTTCTGAATTTCTTTAGGGATGTTTCCTACCACCACCTAATTTAATCTCTAGATCCTTTACTTTTCTAGATCCAAGTTATCAAAGTTTTTTTTTTCTTCATTCATTACGCTGACTTAAACTTAGGTACTCGTGAACTAATTTAAGGTTGCTTTATCATTTGCAGCATTTTCTAGATAGGACTTGCATTGGCCATTGTTTCTGTAGACCCGTAACATCCTCTTAGATATTGAAATTTCACGGATATGCTTCGTCGTTAAGTTAGGTAACTGATTGCAGTAGCTTCTTGTAAAATCAGACGTAAGGCAATTGCTAAGTGCTGCTTAATTTGGAAGAGATACAGATCAGTAGCTTCACATGAAGTGAAATAATCATTATTGCTTTGGTGCAAAACTTCTTTTCCTGAATTCGGGTCTTGCTATTTCCTCTTCATGGTCCTTACAGTAGATTTGTTGTCTGTCATCGCAACAAATCTGCTTAATTTGTTAGGCATTGTTCTTTATCATGTGCCATGTAAACTGTATTTTTTTCTTAATAAACCAAGGTTGAAGAAATTTACGCTAGATGTTTGCATATGGTGTTGTAATTCCTTCTTCTTAGCCTAAGAGAGTTGCAATGGGCGTAATGTCCATATATCAATTAGGTAGTGCTATCCGGTATTGTTAGATCACTTAGATTTTGTCTTAAACTTGTATCACGAGTGTGTTCTGAATTATCGAGTAATCTGAGATGAAAAAAAAAGACCCGAGAGGTGTGTGCATCTATCAACCGTGAAGATAGTATGGTCTACGTTCTTAATGAATTACCTAATGCTTACCCTTAAAAATTTTCTTCTCTGCAGCCTGTTTCATGGGGGACAGTAACATTGGTTGATGCAGAGAGGCGGCTTCTAGCGAATGCCTTGCTTGACTTCTCAAATGAGCGCTTTGTTCTTCTCTCTGAGAGCTGCATCCCGATCTATAATTTCCCTACTGTCTACAAGTATCTGATTGGTTCAAACCATAGCTATGTTGAGTCATACGATAATCCTGGGCGTTATGGGCGTGGGCGTTACAGCCGCGAAATGTTTCCTGATATTCAACTGTATCAGTGGAGGAAAGGGTCTCAGTGGTTTGAACTTAGCCGTGCGTTATCCGTGTATTTAGTGTCGGAAACAAAGTATTACACAATCTTCAGCAAATATTGTTTGCCTGCATGCTACCCGGATGAGCATTACCTGCCTACTTACTTCAACATGTTCCATGGATGGCTGAATTCGAATAGGACTGTGACGTGGGTAGACTGGTCACTGGGAGGTCCGCACCCTGCAACGTACGGAGGAGACAATATTACGGAAGATTTCGTACGGTCTATAAGGAACAATGGAGCGCTGTGTCAGTACAATGCGGAGATGACATCCATATGTTACCTATTTGCTCGGAAGTTTGCACCAACTGCATTGGGGCCTCTGCTCGAGTTCGCCGCATCGGTGATGGAATATTGACAATTTCCGATCTTTTCAGCACAGAATTTTGGTATCAATTTCGTCCCAAATACGAAGATGTACAGGGAGGTAGTTTTGGATAGAGAGACGTTATTGAGTTGGTTCTCTGTGTCATTGAGTTGAGAGAATGAGTTGGTTCTTAAAATAAAGAGAACTTCAACGAAAAGTTTCTGGTATTGTTCACTTTAACGAAAAATCACATTAATCAGCAAAGTCCTTCGAAGAAGGATATCACCAATATATTATACAAAAGTTCAATTTATTGACGGCTCCGAAATCTTTTTGTCGTATGTATTTGATCTAACTGCTCGTCGTAATGAGTAACTTAAACGTGCACTTTGGAGAAATCCTCGTAATTGGCTTGTGTTGTCGAGGTGAAATCAAACAGCAACCAATGAGCCGTTAAGTGAGATATTTGTGAAACATAGACTATAAACGTATTTTGGCTTATTTTTATTCACTAGTACGCACACAAAATTAACACACCTGATGACACACTCAAACAAAAATTGTAGTGAATCGTTGAATCAAAATTGTATATGATTCATATACCATTTGAAACACATAAGCAATGCGAGGAAAATTGATTTCAACCGAACCAACGGCACAGCACCATCTGCCGAATCGACCCCAAATTACAATGAATCCGTCGTCCCCTAGCCACCACAAGGAACCAGTTTGAAGAACAACAATCAAACTACTAAACTGAACCATTCACCGGGATGTATTCACCTACCGTGCATCTTTTGGCTGTGAATCTCAATACTAATGCCGTGATTCATGGATCCAAATTTACGACATTTTCCTGAAAGATAAATTACCGAGTTCATAGTACAACTTACGCAAGTCAGAAACTATTGGCCCCTACGAATTCATCTCATATATTTAACATGCACAATACTTGATAATTGATTGGTAATTCCATTATAAGTCATGGTAATCTTCATCAACCATGCAGATGGCCGATCACAAGAATAAGTAACTTATCATATTAATCACTATAGAAAATATCAAGACAGAAAATTGACGCCGTCTCAATCACTTGATATAAGGATCAAGCAGCTGCTACCTGTTCTGTAATTTGAGCGGGTTCTGATGGTGATTGGTCAGATCCTGTCCCTTGAGCAGGTCCTGACAGATGGTGTTGTGGTTCTAAGCTCTGAAAATCTTCAGATGGCGTGTACGAAGCTGTCACATGAGGGAGTCTGGACGGAGGGTGGTGTGGTACTGCCGTTTGGGGGGCTGCTGATGGAGTGTAATATTGTCCAGCCATTTGAGGGGATTGAGCTGTGGGGTGCTGGCTTGTAGCCATATGTGGAGGTCTTGGTGGTGATTGGTAAGTTCCAGTCATTTGATAGGGTCCAGAAGGCGGCTGATTGGTTCCAGATGGTGGCTGATAGGTTCCAGATGGTGGCTGATAGGGTCCAGAAGGCGGCCGATTGGTTCCGGATGGTGGCTTACAGGTTCCGGATGGTGGCTGATAGGTTCCCCATGGCGGCTGATAGGTTCCGGAAGGTGGCTGATTGGTTCCAGATGGTGGCTGATAGGGTCCAGATAGGGTCCAGAAGGCGGCTGATAGGGTCCAGAGGGGATGATGGTTCCAGATGGTGGCTGATAGGTCCAGATGGCGGCTGATAGGTTGCAGATGGTGGCTGATAGGTTCCAGATGGTTGCTGATAGGGTCCAGAAGGCGGCTGATAGGTTCCAGATGGTGGCTGATAGGGTCCAGAAGGTGGCTGATTGGTTCCAGATGGTGACTGATAGGGTCCAGATGGCGGCTGATATTGTCCAGTCATTTGGGGCGGTGCCGACGATGGACGATATTGTCCCGCCATTTGAGGCGATCTTGGTTGGAATTGCTGAGGTGGTGCCTCTCTAGGTAGTGATCGATATCCCCACCTATTCGTATTTAATACTCTCTGAATCTCTTCGCCACGCCCAGCTTCTCCAAAAACCTCATTTACAAATTGCTGCAATTCTGGAGGAACACCAATGCCATATCTCACCATCTCTTCCAGTAAATCACGGCCTGTATCAAGCACACCTTCATTGCAAACCCCCTTGATCACAGCATCATAAAAACTGGCATCTGGTTTTGGATCTTTTTCTCCCATTTTCTTCAAAATCTGTGCACAGTCTACTGCCTTCCCGTTCTTAATCAATTCATCGAACACCCTATTACCAAGACTAGCAACCACTCGCAGACCAACCTCCACCATCCTGCTAAATATCTTAAGAGCATCATCTATCCTCTCTACTTTCAAATATGCATCAATCAGAGTCCTATGAGTCGTGACATCTGGGGTCAATGACTTTGAGCACAATTCTGCAAACAGTGTCTCAGCCTCCGCTAACATCCCATTCTCACAATACCTAGCAATGATATTGTTATACCCTGCAACGTCCATAGAAAACGGCTTTGAATTCACCTTTGTCCCCACCTTCTTAAAGGTGGCAATTACCTCATCGCACTTTCCAAGCTTAAAACACTCGTTAACCATAATGTTAAATGTTTCCGAATTCACAGCCTGGAAATTTGGTGGGGTGTGATTATCCAACATCTGATCGAACAAATCCAAGGCTTCCTTCTTCTTCCCATGCTTAAGCAGTACCTCCAAGAGAACATTACAAGTTGCCGGGACCATCCTAAACTGCCTATCAAGCAAGGACTTGTATGACTCCATCGCCTCCTTCTCTTTCCCCTGGTTGAAAAACCAATCCATAAAGGTTGAATTCACAACCCCATCATAAACCAAACATCTCTCTTTAAGCTCATCAAAAAGCTCAACAGCCTTCTCCATATTCTCCAAATGTAAGAACCCCTTAATCAAATTATTAAAAACCAAAGAATCCGCTCCGTGGCCCTTATTCAACATCTCCCTCAACAAGTCCACACCCTCACCTATCCTCCCAGCATCAACCAACCCTTTAGTCAAATGCCGGTATGTCACTGGCGAGGGACTGTAGGGGCAATTTGCAATTATATGCCGATAAATCTCCAGTCCCACATCGACACGGCCCTCATCGCAATGAGTATTAATCAAATTATTATAAGATACAATGTTAGGAACAATGTTTGATTGATTGAAGAAGAAGTGGAAAAGGGCAATAGCGTCATTGTACCTCTTGGCGCGATACATTGCAGCCACAATGGCGTTGCAGGTGAAGACGGTGGGGCGAGTGTTGGAGAAAACCGAGTGGCGCGCAACCTCGGAGGCTGCGTCCAAGTCTCCGGCTCGGATGAGCGACTGGACGCGGTTGTGGAGGTTGAGGCGGGGGCCGACGAGGGCGGAGGTGGTATCAGGTAGGCGGGGAGCGTTCGGGTCCCGTGGGGGAGGGGGGCGTGAGTCCCGACGGAGGGCGTTGAGCGGGGGCTCGATGCGGAGGCGGCGCTTGCGACGTCTGCGCTCAGCAGCGGCTTCTTCGGCGGAGGAGAAAGCGAAGGTGCGCGTGGGGGTGGTGAGATGGAGAGGAATGTTTGGGTTGGGGTTGTGGAGGTGGAGGGAGGTGAGGGATTGGGTTAGGGGTAGGGTTGTTGGGGTAGAAGGGCGGCGGAGAGAGCGGAGGAGCAGGCGGTAGAATGACATGGCTGTGAGACTCTGACTGAGAGAGAGGTGAAAATGCTTAAACCCTAGCAATTTGGGAAATGAAGGTGGAAGAAAGAAGAAGGGTTTTGGTGGTTATCTGCTTTGCTCTGCCTACGTTATGTTACTACCAAAAAAAAAACCTGTTTCACGTTTGGGCCAGACCAGACCATTAGACATAGACTTGTTGGACTGGATTGGAAACTCGCCCACTAAGCCCAGATGCTTTTTATTTTATTTTTTGGCGGAAGGATGTCTGTTTTTCCAAATTAACGCTCTTTCAAAGTGTTTTTAAAAGAATTAAAAGCATTTTTAAATGTCAAAACCACTTATAAACATGTTTGGAAAGAAAAAATAAAAAATTCTTAGGAGTTCAAAAAAACCCTTGAATTGCTTTCTTCATTCCAGGCACTTCAAGTCAAGCGATTCAATCGCATTTTGTCAGTTGCAATAAGATGTTTCATTCAACGTAGCTGTGCATCTTATTAAGAGTAAAATTGAAGAGTTCCACCCTCTGGGCCGGAGAGTGTTGACATGCTGGCAGACCGCCCTGTTACTCTAAGCCCCCTTCATCGTATTAGGTCCCTTTTGGACAATGATGTTTTAGGTGTTTCTAGACCTCGTGCCATCTTGTGTACTGTTAGAGTAAAGTTGGCAGTTCATAAACAAAACGTCTGAGTTGGTAATCTTAGACTAGTGCTTGTTTTCAGTTGTAATTATTTTAGTCTAAATTTGTCTCACGTGCTCTCGATCACAAAATGGCAATCGTTTCAGAGACATCCACTCAGGTAAATTTGGCATGCATATGCATTCATATAGTCTAAGTCTATGTTAAATGGATTATTTAGTTTGGACTTCGCACATTTATTAGTTTGATATTTTAATTCAGATCATCATATCATATCATAAATCTTGATTTGGTTGCTGCAGCATGCATTAGATCAGGGGTTGTTTTGACTGCCGCTTATGCATGAGTGAGGTTTTAGTGAGATACACATGCTTTAAATTACACATGCACCGAGAAGAGTTCAATGAGAAAAATAGCATGGATGCGGTTGTGAATGCTTCATAGATGGTGTGGTCACTTCATGTCGCGTGAGCATATATGATTATATATTTGGTTCTTGTCGCATAGCTAGTCTAATACACACAGAGGGCATTACAATTTAATCTTTACTTCAGTGTGCTAGTGTGAGAAAAACAATTTCAGCCGTGTGATTTTAAAAGACAAAATTCAGTTTTTCTTCACTGTTTTTATCCGGGCTTTAATCAAAATCAATTATGAAAATGTGCTTTGTGATTTTCGTAATTGGTTGATTTTCAAAAATTATTCCATCATACATACATTCTGCATGATTGAGTTAGTATCTTGCAAAGTTCGAGGAGACAGTGATTGACGGCCTCGTTAGTGTCGTGCCACTTCCACTCGAATGCTGAAGAGAGATCAAGTAGTAAAGCACGGAGACAAAACTGCCTACTAGTATGCATGTCTAGTTGATGAGTTTTGTAAGTCTTTCTTTACTTATTTCTCTTAGTGTTTGTCCTAGCTTAGAAGCCCGAGGATTTTCCCAGTGGTGGGTTTTGCCTCGTTAAATCCTATATCCTGTGTGCACATTTTATTTATCTTTATAATTGCATATGTGTATGATAGTTTATATGTGATGTGAATGTGGATTTAAATTTGAGAACTGAAAATTGAATTGGAACCTATTCATCCCCTCTAGGTTAAACTAGTACCCGTCCTAGAACTTTCATGTACTCATGGCACCGAGTGCGCTACTGCAAACGCAAACTTGGAGTCGATTGAGTAGAGAGAAAATTGTACATTGTTAAAACGTGATTTTTCGTTAAAAATGAACAATACCAAAAGTGTTTCGTTAAAACTCCCAAAACCTTTTTACTGAGGTTAATATGCATAATACAGTCTACAAGCATCACATAATGCTGTGCAGAAGCCGCAAGTACACACAAGAATGGTTCCACCCAATTTTGGCCAATAGTCGAAAATGTACATTTTACGTCAAAAAAACCTCGTCAATCAAGCACAAGCTCATAGCAAAATTGATTGGATGTACACTTTCATACGATCGCAACAAGATAAAAGGCAGGACACGGGTGAACCAATCAAGGGAGAACTTTCTCCTGCGCATTTCCATTCGGCATCCTTGCAGTTGCAGCTCTTTTCTGTAAGGCAGATTCGTAATGTTGAAACGCCGCATCAAGTGCCTGCACCAAAATGATCTTTGTCCATCAGTACCAGCCATCGTTAAGAAATTTCTTTTCCCGTTTCCTTTGAACTAAGATGAAAGCTTATAGATAAGTCATAAAGTCCACTGATCGCAACAAAAACAATCGAATACAAATGCTGAAGTAAGCAGCTTAGTTCTTTAAGAGAATATTCTTTTTTGCTGAAAGAATACACCAAACAGAGAGCGAACTTGGCCGAAAGAACAAGCAGCAAAGCATGTTACAAGAGGTTTATCAGTACAAAGTACTATACAGTTTCAAACTTAATCGGTCATCCATAACATTATTGTAAAAATCCTTAAAACATAAGAGATAGTTTCTTGACATTAAGATGTATTAATCCTTTCAATTAAACTGAAAATTGAAGAGAGGTATTGACCTGATGCATTGGCCGAACAAGGAGAGAAACCTGGTGCCGGAAGTCTGATTCCTTTATAACAACAACAACAAAGCCTTTTCCCACTAAGTGGGGTCGGCTATAGTCTGATTCCTTTATCTCCTGGAAAATTTCAATCGATACGTGAACAAAGTAGATCCTAAACCCTCTTCCAAAACAATTAAACCCGATTAATGTGGGGTTTAAAACATGAAGAAATCAGTATTGCATATATCAAAACAGAAAAAAAGAGTTTTGAGAAGATCACCAAATGACATTTTCTGTTTTTACGAATTTCATGAAGCAGAATTAAGGTAGATGTTGAACTGCAAAGGTGGAGCACTAGCTAAGAATCTTTAGACAGTCAAAGCGGTAGATAAAAATATGCATCAAATCCTCCAATAAGAAATCAATGTCTCTCTCTCGTCTCCAAACCTCTTTCCATCGCTCCACTCCAATGAAGATCCACCACACACAGGTTGCCACAAACAGGCTGTTTGATATAAGATACAGTCACAGAAAATCCCCAATGGATTGTCATAAAGCTATAAGGCGACCAGATTTTAATAGATGACTGTGTTAGCAATGAGGCAAAGAAGGCACCAGGAGCACAACTACTTTTGAGGTGAAGGAACCTCGAATTGATGAGGCAGACAACACTAGTGGGCTGTTTTCAGCACTACTTATAAAATTACTACACATTCCACATGAAAATTTTAAAACAGCTCAACATCAATAATGACACTATGAAGGAGTCTTTAAATAGCCCAGAAAACAAATGAGAAAAAGATAAAGTAGCAGGACTGATACCTCTAGCTGTCGATAGATTTGTGACATGGCATCCTTCAGTTTGCCTACCTGCGTGAAGAATTTAGTGAAATCACAGAATAAAAATAAATTTTTTAGAGCAAAGAAAACCATGTTGAAGAGATTCAAACAGTGATGTTAATGAGTAATGATTTTTATATAGCATAAAGGAAACAGAGCTAACCTTTGTAGAAAGATAAGCTGTTGTAATTGGATATGTAGACCAAAAATGCCGCAGTAATTCTTGAATGGACATCGAATGCTGGAATAAAAAACATATCCATAAAATCAAAAGAACTGTGAAGTAAACAAAACCTAATTCAACTTGATCAACTCTATGTCAATGAGAACAGAGCAGCCGTAATTAACTTTTTATATATTATTTTACTTACAAAGCAGCTAATAGTATTTAGAAAGTATACAAACAAGTTGTTATTCACTCACATGCAGCAGTTCCTCTTTCGTTTTGTTTGGCAAACTGTCCAGAATACTCTCCCGAGGATTCTTTCCGAGTTGATACTTGGTACTAGAAATATTCTGAGTCAGTCCATTAAGAACCTATACCGCAGAAATGGGCAGTAAAACTTTCTGGCAATTGAAGTATACAGTTTTATAACTATACATGTCATATCTAGAAAAAAGACCTGCCACTAAGACTATATTACCATAAGAGCAATTTCTGGTGCAACAGTGGAATTTTTCAATCCAATGCTCTTAATTTTAGATATAGACTCCTTCAAGGAGCCATATGCTTCCTCAGTAGTTATGCTGCATTTTTTTTGTTCCGTTCCTATTCGTGAGTCATCCAAAGCTTTAAGTGCATTAGCTTGTTGCGTGTCAAAGTAGTCTCGAGGATCCTGTATTCAGGACACATGAAAAATCTCCTGAGTCAGAAGAAAACAATAGGAGTGTGCAACTTCTGCATTAAAACTGTTGGCCCTTTGGAAGAATTATGTCAAAGTGAACCTTAATACATAATTGAGCAACACGATGATCGCGAGGTTCTCGAAGGTCATCTATCTCATTCATCCGAGTAATCCTATCAAGTCTCTCCTGCACAGCACTCTCATCAGGCTCTGCCAAAACATCCGGCGAAAGTTAAGCACAGATCCTGACTTGCCATCAGACAAAAGAGGAAATATTGAGGGGAGGAAGCATGGATAGAAAATCCCAATGGATAAACCAAAGGGGGAAACAAAGGACAACGCTAATCCTGTCTTGACCGCATAAGTGCCTCTGCAACATTATTTGGATCTTCTAAATCCCCATCTGCAGTCAGGTTCACAAATCAAAGTTATCACTAAATTATAAATGAAATATAGCTCAGCCGGTTCATCAAAAAACATCAAAATCACTATACTAATATACAAGTAGATAGAAGCAGCTTACAACATTTATTAATCATAGGAAAGAAAATAGAATAGATTCAGGAGAAACTCTAACCAACAGTTCTGCCTTGAAGAACAACAGCCCCTTGCCTGTTAAGGTCTTGTGATAAAGTCCTCCTGTATTGCTCATTCTGTAGTTCAGTGATGTCCTTGCTACCATCACGAAAGATCCCATGATCCTGATTTTTAAAACATATCAACCAGATCAGAAACGGTTAAAATGAAATCAACTTTATGGCATCCCTAGAGACGTTAAGCATGATAGGTCTTAAGGTCATACCCAGTGCACAAGGCTCCCGCTTTACGCAGGGTCTGGGAGAGGTGAATGTCGGCTAGCCTTACCCCCATTTATGGAGAGGCTGCTCCCAAGTCTCGAACCCGAGACCTACCGCTCATGGGCGAAGGCACTTGCCATCGCACCAAGTGCGTATTCAGAATATCAGAATATAAAATACAGGAACCACTGAGGAATATTTCTCCAATGTGCCATATCTATAACTGCAAATCATATGACAACCACCTTTAAATTTGGGGGTATCAGGAAAATTAGAAGACTGCTTTTAGGATAAGATAGAGGCTACTAGAATAAAAGACTGAAGATCGGTTTAGAAAACATACAGGAAGATGTGTATAATCATCCCCTTGGTCAGCTTCCATATCCAAAGTTGGATCAACCTGTCGAATCTGCAAAAAAATAAAGGCATAAAAATAAGAATATAAACAAATGCACTGGAAGCATCCAGGGTATACCAAAACTTATAGGGTGAAGAAAAAAAAAATTTTAAGAGCACCTTCTGATGAGCTTCCCTTGCCAATATTTCATCCTCCTTTAAAAAAATTGCCAGTTCCTCATCCTCAGCAGCTTCTGCCGCAATTGCAGCAGCATTCTTTGTACTGTGAAGGAATTCAGCTCTGAAATATTTTGTCCAGAAGTCTTTTGCTGTCATCTGGAATTACAAACAGGAAAAGCTAGAAAAACATGATTTGGGCTAAGTAAGAAAGCAAATAGCAAACTTCTCAATTCTCAACTTATAGCTACCATGGAAAAGTGTCTGATTATGTAAGGAATTGTTTGGATATCCTCACTACCTTACTGGGCACTAGTTCAAGAAATGCCTGGTGAACAGCCGGTTTGAGAGCAAAGATCTGAAAAGGAGTGTAACAAAACTTAAGCATAAGCACCAAAGAAAGCTTTCCAAGATGGATAACCAAACTCTCGTTCAGAGTACTTGCATTTGTTGAAAATGAAAGAAGTATTATCTCAAAGAAGAAGTGAAAAGTGGAGAAATATGCCTGATATTTAATCTCTGGAGTGAAATTAAACGTAACCTTGTTCATCTGGACAATTCCCAAAACAAAACAAAACAAAAAAATTAGTTTCCAAACCACTAAGTTGATGAGATAAAAAAGTTATGGATAAGTAAAGGAATCCTTTAACATCCACAAAATAGTTTTATTAAATGTCATCAAGGAGGTGCCAACTCTACAAGCAACCAAAGTAACTATTGGCAAGAAGAAACAAATGAATCATAAGATCAGAGAGAGTTCAATGTTCTACCCGACCGTCACTTGTAGGTTTGGTGTCCAAAATCATTGAATTTTTAAAACCAACCCGTTGTTTTGGCTTTGTATGGCTCTCTCCATCAAGCAACTTCTGCAATAAATTTTGGAAGGCAGACATGTCACAATAACAACCATACACTTTTGGCTAAAATTTGTTTCAATTGTCAGTGTAGCACTGTGGGTGGGGAGGGGAACCAACACTATGTATAGGCTTGCAGTTGAAAAGAAAAAGTAAACACAACTTTCCAAACATGATCAAGAATCTGTCTTCGTTACAGTATCTAACCTTCCTAGTTGCCCAGAACTCAGATTCTGTCAAAACACCACTGATTACAAACTGCATATGAAGTTTCTGCAGTTCACTGTGAAGAGTAAAATTAAGTGACATAAAACAGCAGTTATATGCGGAAAGCTCAGAAGCGAACAATCTAGTAACAAGAAATAGCAAGTAACCCACCTTCTCAAAACCTCAGCTCATCATAAACATAAATTACAAAACTATGCTTACTGTCCAAATTTCCACCTAGAAAATAAAGGCAAAAGAAAATAACTTGTAGACAAAACAAGGCAGCATGATAGTTGGGTATTTTTGTTCATGCAGAGTTGCTTTTGTTGGTTTTTTTTATGTTTTATTTTTCTGGTTTTTTTGGTGGACTGCTTGTACCAGGAAATGGCAGTACAGAACGCCACGGCACCAAATTGTTGGCAGAAAAGACAAGAAAGCAACCAAATGTTTGAATTCAGCAGTCTGATACTGAAAAGGGAAGGGACTGAAGCACTTTGAAAGTGGAGGCCATCCAGATTTGGTCTTTGTGTGAGTATGAGTTGTACCTATCAATGCTAGGAATCAAACTAATCAGAATCTGCATTAAACTATGTCAACATTAACTGTTATTAATTCATTTTAGGGGAATGCATATGACTAGAAAAACAGGTGGGAACTTATAATCCACGAGTTGATGGTGTGTGCTTTTGTTATTCTTCACTGGCTGTCATTAAATTTATTTCAACATTTTTCATTAAAAGTTGATTCTAGGGGAAAGTTATTACTAGTTATTACTAGGAAAACGTAAAACTTATCAACTATCATAGAAGTACATAGAGTACTAAAACGACCGGCAAACTTGATGGTGTGTATTGTCCTGATTCCTAAATAGCTATCATTAGACTTTGTCATTCACAATCTTTAGTAGTTTATTCTGGGCAAAAGTCTACGACTAGAAAAATATAATATCTACTATGGTATAAATAGAAAATAAAAACATATGAACTTGTAGAACGGGTGTGGTATCCTGATTCTTTCCTGCTGAGAGTTGCATTAAGATGAAAGTTACAAACCAAATTATAGTTCAACCAAGAAATATTAAAAATAATACATCTCCATAAGGAAACAAAAATTGATTTTAAACTATTCCAAGGCACTACAAAATGTGAAATGCTGATGTTTTCTATCTGATAGGGAGGAGACAAAGTAACCTGTCTTCTTGCAATAGCTTCATACGGAGCTCCATTTCCGCTGCACTGAGTTGTTCATCAGGCAATGTAACTACAACTTTTTTAGGACCAGTTTTTGCAGCTTCTGAAGCCTTAGATAGGGCATTGGCTATTCAAACACACCAAATAGCACAATCTAAGAGAAAATAATTAACTAAAACACACAAGACAAAAGTCAAATAAAAAGGTCGTACCCAGTGCACAAGACAAAAGTCAAATAATTTAAAAAAAAAATAATACAATTTAAACAAAATTTTAGTGCAACAAAGCTTGTAAGGAAAGCAGTGGCACAAAAAAACAACGGTTGGCACTAAATGTTATTTAGAATCTTGTAGATAACTGAAAAGGTAAAGGCATTAAAACACCCCTCACACGGTCACAGCTACAAGCAGTATTTGCATGGAAAACTCTCAAAATTCAACTAAAAAAGAAGTCGAATTACATCAGCAGAATGTTAGATTTGTAGACAAATGAGTAATTGAGTGGTTTCTAAAGAAATACAATGGCTACTGGCTGTCTCTTACGATGCAATCCATTCCAGTAAAGGCGGTCCACACAAGACATTTATACCAACAGCAAGCAATATTGAGCAAAAGAAGAATGTGAAAATAAGCCTTTGAACACAATCAACATAGAATTTCATACATGTTCTGTGTGATTGGGATTTACCTACAAAATCACGGCATTCATGAAGATCGGGAAAACTTTGAAACTCAAAAATGTAACTTTTAACCTGGGGCATCACAGTTGCAGAAATCCAGTCAAGAAAGAATAAGAAGCTGGATTAGACTAGCTCTAAACTAGTGGTAGGATGTAGCATAAATTACAACTAAAAGAAAACCTCACGACTGCTGCTAAGATTAAGCAAAGGTGCTTGCTTGGATCCCTCCTTAGTGTTTTTGTGACCTGAAAGTTCATGAACAAGAATAAAAAAAGGGAATTATATATTTATAACTCGAATAGTGAGCATGTAATCCAGAGAAATTGAATGGTTGAATATCAACATTAGTAAAGAGATGGTCTTTTAGTTTGGCTTGAACATAAACTTGTTCTCAACCTGCCCAGACCAACATATTCGCCAAAACAACATTAAACAAATGCAATCCGGCAGTCGCATATTTAAGGAAGTTTGACATATAGACCCCCTAAAAAAACTTTAACTTAGCTCAAAACTCAGCAAATTTATCCTTACAACCAATGACAAAACTCATTAGTACAAACCAACTGTTGGTGCGTGATTTGCAAGCTATCCACATGAACTATGTCCTTGATTGTTAAAGAAAGTTTGAACTATGTCCTTAATCCCATAAATCTTACCGATAATTGCAAATTAGCAATTGTAGAATATACAAAATGTTTGCAGAATACATTGTTCAAACACGAAAAGCAATGGAATTGAATGGGGGGAAAATGGAAGAAATAAGCAAATGTTGGGTACCATAGTTAAAACGCCGGGAATGCCAGGGTTCTTTAATCTTGCTGCATCCTTATATTGTGCACGCTTCACCACTCGCCTCGACGACGAGGACGATGAAGAAGACATCTTCTTCTTCTTGTTCGCGATTGGTGGGCACACGATTTCTCAAAAAATCAAAAGAATTTCGAATCGATCAATCAAAATTGTCAAAATCTAAGAAATCGGATTAGGGGTTGGAGTTGTTAAGGTCTTAGGGTTGTTGCAGATATAAACGGCGCGCATTTGTACGGACCGATGGAGAGGCTCACTCTCTCCCAAGCTCCTTCCTCTTTTCTTTGTGTCTGTGTGAGCGACTGTTGTCCTATTGAAGTAGGAAGAGGAAGGTCTATTTAAGCAAACCCATTTATTTGCTAGACACACCCACCCAATACGTAAAGAACGAATCTTCGCTGCCAAGATTGGGACTTGGGCGCGTAAATGGAAGTGAAATATTTGCAGGAATTTCCGAACTTTTGGTAGTGGAAATAGTGGCAGACTTGTAATTATTGGTATTATTAGATCTCTTTTGTTATAGGTGGCAGGAGAGTTCAACCAAACTGTCCCTTTCGTCAGAAGCAGAGAGAGAGCAGAGACGAAGTGAGAGAGATGGTGTCGTTGGTCACCAAGAACAACCCACACAACAAAATCAAAGTTTGAAATTCAGGAGAGAGAGAGGAAGCAGAAGAGAAGCAGAAGCAGCAGGAAGAGCTATGAAGTTGTTGAAAGGAGAGGTGGGATTTCTGATTCTCTACGCCGCTGCTTTCTACGCCTTCATCATCCATCGATCCCTCCAAATCTCTCGCGGTATCATCCATTTCTTAATCTCTTTTCTTTCTTCTTTTTCCTTTTGGTTATTTGGTTTTTTGTTTATTTGTTTATTCACTAATTAATTGAAAATTGAATGTCCATTTTTCTGATACGCAGATCACGCTAAGCTTTTCGGTTTGCGTCCTGGATGGCTCATTCCTCCTCGCCTCAATGTGGGTTTCTTCTTTCAATTTCATTCATTTCTGTTTTCTCTTTATAAATTCAGTTTTATTTCAATGATAACACTCGAAATTCTGGTTTAGATAGTTGGGACAATGCTCTGCTGTTGTTAAGCTCTTGAGTTTTGAGCTGGCTAAACATGGGAGTTTGACAAAATTTAGTGTGTTGCCCGAAGGGCTAGTGATGGCATTCAAATGGCATGGTGTTTGAAGATATATGTGTATATGATGCACGTATGTACGTAAATTCTATTCCTTCACAATTATCATAGAAAATAATGGTTTGGAAAATAGGGGATAGGAGTAGATTAATGCTGAAAATGTGAATTAGATTGAGGCAGAAGTTATCACTAACGGAATTGTAGTGACTTAAAATGTGTATATGATGGCAGAAGTTATCATTTAAATACTAGAAACATTGCTCTGTTTCTCTATGTGACTCTTGTTCGTGTGTTGAGTTACTGCAGTGCCATGGTGTGAAAAACATTGGATGTACTGAAAACTCAAAAAACTATACAAATTCTATTCTCTGATATACCTGTTCTTACCTGAAAAGCACCTGTCTTTTTCTGCTTAGGATGTTTCTGATGCTCAATGGAGAAACTTTCGAGGAAATTTACCAATTCTTACCGTTGTTTTCACAATGTTCACGTTGATCGCTAATTTTTTGAGGACAAGCTTTCATTTAAAAGCGAGAGGGATGTCCATTATTTGGATTTTGATTTCTTTCACATACCTAGCATATCTGCATGGAGCCTGGTATGTCTTACCTTCATAACAATACTTGGATTTTATGCTCTTTCTGAGGAGGTGCTGTTCTCTGACTTTCATTGTTTCTGCAAGCATTCTATTTGTCCTCTCAATCGCTTCAATGAATTTTCTCTTGGTAAAGGTGAGCTCCATTCATGCTTGGATGCACAATGCAATGCATTTTCTTTTAGGGAATTGTTAGTGGCACTCCAAAAATCTAAATGTGCACTTCAAACTTTCTGTATTTAGAAAGAAAAATACTCTTATGAGGAGTTCACAGTTCGATTTTTGGAGTGCCAATAATAGTTCCCTTCTTTTATCACCATTATCATTAGTGTTTTTCTCTTTATATTTATGTTGAAGTATTTTCCTTCAGTTAGGTTGGTTTTCTGATATATACAGGTCCTACATGAACCTTTAGTCTTAAAGTATGTGTTATGATACATAAAAAATATTGGCCAGCTTCCAAAACAACATGATTTCATGTGAAGAATTTGTTTTGGAACATATTGAGACTGAAGAAGGTCAAAACTTGATTTCTATGTATTGTTGGCGTAGCAGTTGATAGTTTGTGCACTTTATTCCACCATATGCTTTGTGCTTCTAGGAGTTAAAAGCTCTGCATTGTCCCTCATTGTGTTTCAAATGTTAACTGTTTATGCATGTGAAATTAATGGTGCAGGGTAACTTTGACAGTTAGGTTTGATGAAAATATTCTATTTTCCCCCCTAAAATTTGATTTTATAATTGCAAACTGTGTTATTGTATGCTTTATCAGATTAATCATATGGGCTACTGTTTTGAGTCTACTCGAAGAGCTCATTTTGTTTCTTTCTTTGTCAGAGTTATGCGCTACAGTTTTGAATTCTTGCCATACATTACTGGACTTGTGTTTTTGCAGATATTTGCACGAACAAAATATTTCCCTTTTGTATTATGGATTTTCAACATATTCTTTCTTCTGTGCAATCGTGTTTATGAAGGATATTCATTCTCCATAATTGGGTGAGTTTTGTTGGCTAGGCTAGGCTAGTTAGCGCTTCTTTGGGTACTTAACAATAAATTGTGATATATCTGCTTACTGGTTCTGCATATTATTATGTAGGCAACGCTGGGCATATTTGGACAACTTTCGGGGCACCTTTAGATGGCACATTTGCTTTAACTTTGGTATTGTGCTTTCCTCATTATTGGTTTGACGGATTAATTCCAGTTATCATACTTTCATGATTATGCTTTAATTTTATATATATGACATTTCGTCAAATACTTCTATACCTATGTAGACACAAATCTATATATGCAATCCTACAAAATACCCAGATGGGTTTACCAGTATGATCTGTGAGACAGAACAAGCAGCCAACTTTCTGAGAATCGAATGACATACCAAAAGAACCCATCTCTACAGTATGAGAATCCTCTAATAGTTGAATAATCTTAGATATTAAAAGATGGACATGAAATAAGTGGCTGCTTGGAACAGCTTGGAAGTGGGTTCTCAGACTGCAGAGACAGGTTTGCATAATTACCAAATACAGCCAACTTATTTCATGATTACTGCAGCTTGGAGCAGACCCACAATGCCACAGATTGGAGCTTTGTGGATGATAGGTCAAGTGTGTGTGTGTGTGTGTAAGGAATAAGGATTGTTATATGAGAACCAAAATGGTGGATGAATATGTTTGAAACTTTGAGTCGTTTCAAGGAGTTATGGGTGTATTGGTAATTAAGGATCTCTTCCGTATCTGCTGGTGTAAAATTGTGGTTTTGGTGCCCCCAATTAAGTTATGGGGTAGGCAGTGGAGAGATGACTAGTTGGGAGATGAGTTCATTGTACCTATATTCTTATTTCAGTAATTGCATGAATAGAAATAAGTAAAAGCTTTCAATTGAGATAATAGGAATGGAAGTTAAAAAGGTCGTACCCAGTGCACAAGGCTCCCGCTTTACGCAGGGTCTGGGAGAGGTGAATGTCGGCTAGCCTTACCCCCATTTATGGAGAGGCTGCTCCCAAGTCTCGAACCCGAGACCTACCGCTCATGGGCGAAGGCACTTGCCATCGCACCAAGTGCGACCTCTAGATAATAGGAATGGAAGTTAATAGAAAAAAAAAAAAGAACGGATTCACAAAGCACAATGAGTAATGCTGCAACCTGCTATTGTACATTAGTCTATATTTGTGATTCTATTATATGGTGTTTTTTTCTCTAATTCTGGTTGTTTGTGACAGTTGTTTTGCGGATGATAAGCTTTGGTTATGATTACCATTGGGCACATCGAGATTCTCGTTTTGACCATAAGGTATTTGTGTTCCTTTGAGCTGTGATCTGTATGCTCTCTTCTCTGTTTGTTTCCCTCCCCCTTTTTGTCTAGTTTGTGTGCTATAAGATTATTTTGTCACCGTATCTACATGGAAATGATGTTTCAAACCTTCCAAGGCTTCTGGTAATGGTGGTGATGCAGGACAATAGTAAGAGAAAGGAAGAAAAGAGTGATCTGGACTCACTCTCTGGCCTTTGGCAAAAACTATTGGTGTATTGGATTCACTACAATAGAAATTAGAAAAAAAAAGTCTAGCCTCACAGCTAATACACTATAAATTCTGAAAGACACAATTCACAACACCTAATCATGTGACAATAAGAGACTTAAGGACATTTGAATGTGAGACTCCAAAACAATGGACCTAAAATACACCGTGTAATTAATACATCAAAACCTTTTCAGACCTACTCCAACCCTTGGAGTAAAACTCAAATTTTAGGTTCTAAACTTACCCCAACTTGCTCCAACCCTTGGGCCAAATATCAGTTAAAACTCAAAACTCATTTTTGGGGCAAATTTAGCCTAGAATTCCCCCCTGGGTTAGTGGGGCTGGCCCATCATATATGTATATTTTTTTAGTTTTATATTTATAAATTAATTGAATCCAACGATTAAGATCTAATTTGATCAAATCCAACGGTAAAAAAAATATCTAATGGTCCAAATTTAAATTTAACGACTAAAGTAATTAAAAAAATTATTTTATGTGTTTCATATTCTTTCGTAGTGTTTCACGAGTTTCATGGTGTCGGTTTAGTGATTTTTCAATATTTATCATAATCTAAATATTTTTAGGTTAAAATGTTCATAAAATTAAATTAGGATAGTCTACATAATTTTATTTTTTTTTAAGTTACTTTAAGAAAGAAATTATCCTAAATTCATTCTTTAATAATCTCGGGCTGAATATTTAACCCAAAAGGGTTGGAGGAGAAAAACTGTTTCTGGGTTAAAACCTAAATTTTCTGGGCTAAAAATTTTAGATTTTAACCCAAGCGTTGGAGATGGTCTCAGGAGATTAATTTTTTTGTAAAATGGGTGTAGCGG